TGGGAGGTCACATTTTGGAAAGTGTGGAGGTTGGCGGGATGTTATATATACATAAAATCCACATATCATCTGCATACTTGGCTAGTATTAGTATTAGTGTGCCGAAAGATGAAAAGAATACACTGTAAAAAATAAACCGCAAATTTTACGGTAAAAAAACGGCAGCTGTGGTTGCCAGAACTTTACCGTTAAAAATACGATAGATGGTTTTACAGGCTTAACCTAAAATTTAGAGTAACAAACCGTATTTTATTTTCTGATAAAATGTTGATTTACCAACTTATTGATATCTGTTTTAGACCACTGACAACCATCAATCATCACAGCAGTGATGAGAGTTACTTGAGCAATCACAGCTCATCATAAGTGATTACTTATTTAAGTAATACTTATATAAAGAAGCTGCACAGTGTCATTTACACAAACATTAAAACACCATCATGGTAACACACATGAAATTTTAAAAAAATGCAATAAACATTAATTTAACAACATTAAATGTAACATAAAACCCTAATGTACATAACTGATTAGAAAAAAAAAACAATAAAACTATGAGGAACTATAGTTATTTAAAAAAAAATACATCAAATGTGAAGTGTCACACAGGGAATTGTGGGAATGTCAATTTACGGTTTTTCACTGTAAATTACACAACGATTTGTTCTTTTTCACTTTCAAAAACGGTAATTTAAAGGTATTTTACTGTAAAATTATATCACAGTTATTTACCGTATAAAGTACGGAAACTTTCTGTTAACCAATTAACAGTTTTGCAATGTAGCATTTTTACAGTCTTTTACTGTTAAAATCACGGATATTTTTTACAGTGTAGCAATGCTGACCATTGAGTTGCTCAATGAGGTCTCTGGTGAATTCTCCTCAGAGATGTGCTTGTTAATGAATCTCTCCCTTATGAGTTACCTGAGGTCATTAGTGCTGTCCTTTTGAAGAATATAATGATGTTTCCTTTATAATTATTGAGATCGTAAAAAAGAAACGAATCGATGTGTCATAGCAGTTCAGTCCCATCATTATCAACACTGTTCTGGGTGTGATCTGGTTAGTAACATTATAAGGGCGCTTACGTTTTTTTTTTTTTTCTAGTTTCGCAAGCTGAGATTAGCAGCGAGCGGGGATTATCCGTGAATAAGCCATCATATTATAAACACAGCCTTCTGAAGAGCTTCCGTAACCTGAAAAAGCAGATTAAAGGCGTCAGGTGACGATTTAGTGATTCACATGCAATGATACAGGACGAGGGTTGTAAAGGTAGATTTGGGAAGGTTATTAAATTCGGTGTAGCTATGAGCCGTATCATTTTGGGGAGCAGCTGAGAAAGAGATCTGAGTTTACCTCAGTCATTTTTGGCTCCGTACGGGGGATGAAAGAGGTTATTTAAATGCAAATTGAATTCCTTTGTCCAGCGGTTCAGACAAGGACTAGAGAAATATCCTGGGCTGAAAATGGCTTCAGCATTACATAATTGTGCACGGCCCTCCTCTGGAAATAAGGCTCTTCGGCCTTCTCACGTCTTTGTTTTGGGGTTCATTTCTTTTTTTAAAGAGTAAAGATGCACATGCAAGTCATTTGATCCATCTCAAAGTGCCAATGGGATTCATTTGTGTTGTCCACAATGAAATCACTTCCAAAATGAATCAGTTTTTCTGGATGAGGTGTCATATTTGTACTGACTGCTCTAAAAGATCCTTGCACTCCTTTCTATTTGATTGGAATTTAATGTACTAGCAATGACAATATTATCATAGATCTTTATGTAAAGTTGGATAAATAAGTATGTCCAAATATAACTGCATACATACTGGAAAGTATGCTGGCGTTGGGTGATATAGCCAATTTAGCAAATCTCAACTTAAAGGGATACTGGAATTTTTTTTAGGAAATAGGCTCATTTTATAACTCCCCCAGAGTTAAACATTTGCGTTTTACCGTTTTTAATCCATTCAGACGGTTTTCTGATATTTTGAAGAATACTGCATGAGTAACCAGACAGTTTCTGGTCCCATTGACTTCCATAGTATACTAGAGAACCCAAATGTTTACTGTAACTTTGGGGGAGTTTTAAAAATGAGCCTATTTCCCCCCCAAAAAAGTGGAGTATCCCTTTAAAGGAGAAGTTCACTTTTGAAAAAAAAAAACAAAAAAAACTTTTGCTGATAATTTATTCACCCCCAAGATGTCCATGTTACTCTTTCTTCAGACGAATAAGGGTCTTATCAAGCGAAATGATCGCTCATTTAATAAAAACCAAAGTTTTACGTTTTATAAGCTCAAATGCTCGCCTTGCGTACTGCGATGCAAGTTCGTATGTCCAACTCTCCTGTTCGAAACTGGTTCATCAAAATGAACAAATCTTTTTACAGAGTCAATTCGTTCGTTTTGTTCGTTGAATGAACCAAATGACTCGGAAAAAGATTTGTTCTATTTGATGAACGAGTTCGAACAGGAGAGTCACAAATGTGCGTCACAGAACAGAACATGAGCATTTGAGCTTATAAAACTTAAACTTGTTATTTATTTATTAAATGAGCGATCGTTTTGCTTAATAAGACCCTTATTCATCGTCTGGAATCGTTTAAAGCCCTTTGAACAGTTTGCAGTTTTGTACTGAAAGTGTCTTTTGGACCTTAAACCGTTTGGTTCCCATTGAAGTCCATTATATGGAGAAAAATGCTGGAATGTTTTCATCAAAAAACTTAATTTCTTTTCGACTGAAGAAAGAAAGACATGGACATCTTGGATGACATGGGGGTGAGTAAATTATCAGCAAAAGTTTTTTTCAAAAGTGAACTACTCCTTTAACAAATTTGTTGTAAGTTTTCTTTGTAAGGTTTAGGGTGGATTTGACCCTCATTAAGCCTAGGAGATGCCCTCAGAGTAAAAGTGTTTTAAATGAAGGCCTTTGCAAAGCAGGTTTTATGGGTCAAGCTAAATTACAGCATGAGTTAAGCAAATGGTTAAATTGATTTACTTAAGTAAAGAGTACAATTACTTGATTAAGAGTTAAGACACCATAAATGTATACACCTCCTTTGACTCGCACAAGTAAAATTTAAGGACTTGTCTTCTGGCTTTCAAAACTGCTGATGTCGCTTTTCGTATTGTTCAAGTGTACTTGAGATCACAGTATATTATAGTCTAATAAATCCACCGGATCGCACTATGTAGTCTACAGGGAAAGCTCATTTGGAATTATGCAGCCCATAATCTAAACATTATAGCCGTTATATAGAATGAAAAACCCATTGCAGGCTAATGAATAACAGAAGCGTTTTAAACCAGTAATTACTGCGACAAGAATATCTGAACAGTGTCCTTGATGCTATTGAAAAGTAGGTATTCACGCAGTAACTTTCCTTAAAATGTACATGAACTCACAATTTACAGTACTTTGATGCACTTTCTGAATGTTGAAAATGCTTGTTTTCTTAAACTTACAGACTTGAGAATCTACGGAGAAAGAAACTCGCTCTGTTTCGTCACCTATAGGCTTTGTCATGCAGGCTATTGGGTAAACTAAAAGCCACATTGTCTTCAGCAACTGTTTATGGAAATGGCTGCCTTCTAAAAACAGTTAATGCATTCAAGGTTAATGTTGTGTAAAGTTTATGTCTCAGTATTTCACCGGCTCACATTTTTCAGGCTTTTGACCTCAGTGGTAATATATGAATCTTGCATAAGACAGAATGTGTGTTTTTCTGTTTTGCAACTTTGGTCAATGAATTGGACTTTCTTCCAAAAATTAAAGGATTAGTTCACTTTTGAAAAAACTTTTGCTGATAATTTACTCACCCCCATGTCATCCAAGATGTCCATGTCTTTCTTTCCTCAGTCGAAAAGAAATTAAGGTTTTTGATGAAAACATTCCAGGATTTTTCTCCATATAATGGACTTTAATGGGAACCGGATGGTTCAAGGTCCAAAAGATAGTGTTAATAACAGTTTCAGGTGCAGCTTCAAATGTCTTTAAACGACACCAGACGATGAATAAGGGTCTTATCATGCGAAACGATCGGTTATTTCAAAGCTTATTCCAAAAATGTAACTTTTCTAAGGACAAATGCTAGCCTTGTAATATATTGTGAGGCGTGTTTGCAACGTCACGTAATACGTAATTACGTTCAAAAGGTCACGGGCGACGTAGCCGGAAGTACAGAATCAAAATCGTCCGACATCGTTGTTTTACCTTTTAATTCCTTTTTTGTAAACGATGTTTGAGTTAGTTTTCACGTTCAACCTATGCGTTCAAC